TTGCGTTGCTCTTCTGTTTCTAGCTTCTCCTCTGGCTCGATGTCGCCGTATTCTGTCATGCGCTGAAAGGAGTTCAACTCCACTTCAAGCTCGTTGAGCGTCCGGACTAGCGTCAGAATCGTCTGGCTGAGGCCGATGGCGTTCGTCAGAGAGAATCCCACCAGACCTGCTGATCCGGACCAGAAGTATGCTACGCAGCCGGCCGCGGCTGCTACAGACGCGGCGCAAAAGTCTGTCCGGACCGAAACCCAGCGGTTGCAGTTGTATTGTGCCTCGGAGGAGCGGGCGTGGACTGCCAACTTCTCGGCCAGCAGGTTCTGGAACACCTGGTCCATGCCGTGCCGAGCTCGGATCACGCTCAGTCCTGACAACGAGTCGGTGAAGTGTGAGAAAACAGGGGAGTAATTAATAGAGGTCAGCCGCTTGATTGACACTTGAGCACGTGTGTACATCTCTCCGATGACGAACCCTGCAGCGCAGATAACGGCTGCCGGGAGAGCAAAGATGGGCATGATGGAAGCGACACTGGCAATTCGAAGCAAAAAGCGTAGGGTATTCTCAATTGACATCCGCAGCCACTCAACAAGAACTGTGTCCAGAGACCGTGTGTCGTTTCCGAACCGGTTGATGGCGCGCCCGATTGGATTCTGATCGAACCAGGCAATTGGTGCAGACAGCACGGCCGTCACCAGCCGGTGGTGCGTCTTCTTAGCAGCCACCCAGCTGCCGTACTGATATATGAGATTGTTACATAACTGCAAGGTCAAGAAGGTGACGATGCACGCTGCGTATATACCCAGGTAGAACAACGTGTTGGGATGCTCGTACTTGTCGTACGCCCCAGTCCATATGGATAGCCAGTATGTAATGGCAAAGTAGGCAAATTGCACGGAGATGGTTGCAATCACAACCAGTGGAACGTAGGAAGCGCCACCAAATAGCATCATATAACGAAGCGCTGATCTGTTAGCAATGCTCAAAGCCATCTGTAGTCCTCGAATTCTTACCTAGCGTGCGAGGCACTCTTCCCGTGGCGGACGTCTCCTTAGCTATGCGTTCCTCAGCAGGCGGTTGCTTCCCAGCAGGAGCAACTGGCGGAGGCTCTGACGGGGATTCCAGAGCTTCGTCTGCCACGCGCACATTGCTCTCCGACACGGAAGAGTCTGTATCGGTGCCCGGTGTGGTGCATCGGGAGGACATGAGAGAAAGTGTACTTTTGGAGATTGCTCGAGCGGGGACAATCCTGCCATGCTCCAACCGGATCACCAAGTCGGCATCCTGCAAGGCGGCTGGGTAGTGGGTGATTAAAACGACCGTGCGGTCCTTGAGTAGACCGCTGCGGAAACACTTTTCATAGACAAGACTAGTGGTATGGGTGTCGAGAGCGGAGAATATGTCATCAAATAACAGCGTGTTCGATGGCGAATACAGTGCCCTTGCCAAAGATACTCGCTGCTTCTGACCGCCGGAAAGCGAGGTTCCTCGCTCTCCCACCATGGTGAGGTCGCCTGCCGGAAGCTGTTGCAGGTCTTGGGTCAGACCACTGGCTTCGATGGCCATGGCATAGCGGGCTTCATCGAACGGGCTATAAAAGACGATGTTCTGACGAATTGTATCGTTCTGAAGCCATGGTGCCTGTGGAACGTACGCTACATCGCGCGGGCAAGTAGCGGTTCCTGATTCCAACACTGTCTCACCCAGGAATGACAAGAGCAGCGATGTCTTTCCGCAGCCAGTGGGGCCCGTCACCACATTGAGAGCGTTGGGCTTGAAGCGGAGAGTGATATCCTGCAGCCTAAAGGCAGCAATGGGGGTGCGTCGAAAGGTGGCATTCTTTAACTCTAACGGGCCGTCTGGATGCCGCTTGATCTCACTAGCAGTGTCAAAGAAGCGGTCGACACGACGCAGCGACTCTGATCCTTGCGCGGTATAGCGGCTGATGTTGGACAACCAGATAAACTGAACGCGCAACGTTTCCATGATAGACAATGAAGTAAAGGCGACAGGTGCCCGCAAAGGAAGATCAGTAAACAAAATATAAACAGAAAACATGACTAGAAGACTAAGGAGCGGCAGCAGCTCGCCACCCATGGAAATAAGAGCCACGAATACGCTGCGTCTCCACAAATGGCGCTGCTCTACACGGCGAACGTCATTAATGTTGTTCATCGCAGCATGCTCCCACCCAAAGTACTTCAACGTGCGGATGGACCCCAAGTACTCAGATATCTTGGACAGCCGAGCATCCGTAGCCTGCATAACGGTGCGTTGGATGCGGGAGACTTTCCGCGACGCCAGGGCAGGCAGCGGAGACAAACACAGCAGCATGAGAACACCAAACAGCGACGGCCATCCTAGCATCTGATACAGAAACACTAGAGCCAAAGTAGTCGAGATCGGGCCTGCGGTGGCTATATAGAAGATATCACGGGAGTTGTAGATAGCGTCAACATCGTAAGACATCAAGCTGGTCAGATTGGCTTGGCTTGACTTGGAGGCACCCTTGGACTCGGCCCGGTGCTTCGACTTGGCATGTTTGCCTGAAGAGTGGCCCACAGAGTCATCGTAGATGTACGAGCGCATCGCAGTCTGATAGAGCTCCTGGACGAGTGACACATTCACCCGAACCAGTAGTCGGGTTGCCGTGAAGATATACTGTTGGTAGCAGAGCGAGCGAGTCGCCGGACCAGCAAAAAGTAGTGCGATCCACAATGCAGGATGGAGCACTGCACTGCTGGGGTTCTCCAGATAGGCTAATAGCCGCAACATGGAGTATGGCGCAAGAAAGTCCACCACCGCCGTAAGGGCCGCCCAGAACATCATGGTTTTGATTTCCGTCTTCAGCATGCGGCATAGCGTACGGAAGGTTTTGCCGCCTTTGAGCCGCTGCTTCTTAATCTTTTCTAGCCACTTCAATGGTTCATCGTATGACGGCAGTGGAGGCAGATCGTCCAAAGTCAGATCCCTCTGACAGCCTCGCAGGATCACATGGGTGATCCACTCATACGAGCAGTAGTAGGAAAAGAGAGAGCATGTCTCTTCTGGAGAAGCCTTCTCTTCAACCACTAAATCGTCCGTCTCTGCGTTATGAACAAGCGAGCGCCGTGGACGTGGCGTAGCCGCTGCAATTGCCACAACCGCCGCCAAGCAGGCCACAATAGCAACTCCAATGGAGGTTGGCCTATAGGTAGCTCCGATCACCATCATGGGTACTATATCCTGCACCACGGCCAGAATGAGAGCCGCTGTCACCATTGCATTCATATGCCAATACATATGACGTCGATAGTCATAGCGCTTGATGCAGAGCCGGCCGATACCCAACAATACCACGTAGGTCAAAAGGGCGGACCGTTTCCAACTCTCACCATTGTGTATGTCGACCCAGGTGAGACAACAAGCCGCAATAGCGACAGCCAGGTGTGCGAACGCGAACGGCAGAGATACCACAATTTCGGACTGATCATGCGGGGTAGTCTTCGGCGATGGTGATTTCTTCCGGTAGGAACGGATGTAGCGCAGACTTATCGACAACAATACCACAATCCATGATGCTAGGATCGCCGCTAGGTGGAGGTTGCCGGATCCAACAAAGGCGGACGCCTTCCGAGTCCGATATTGCCATAATTCCCTAAAGCAGCTTCAAATCAGCCATGCCATTACCCACGATCTTGCTGGGTTAAACCCACCTCTGCACCAGACCAGGATGCGGAGTATAAGCAATCTCGCCAGCCCCGCCTTGAACTGCTAGAGGCACCACGGCCGCGGGCACGATGGCCGCGAGATGCTCCATCGGTCAAATTGTAGTCTGCAACGGGCAGACAAGCTCACTCATGGGCAGTTCTCGCGTTCGTCATAACCAAGTGAGAGCTCTCTGGAAACTGCCCGACAGCATTGGAGATTGGCGAGGGTGGAGAAGGCAGTTATAGAGCACGGGTCGAAAGGATACTACCCATTGTCTTAAAGACTCCGGTAGTGAGAGGCTGGACAGAAGCCGGAGGTGCAAGCGAGGGGCCGGGAAATTGGAGCAGCCGGAGGAAGCGGTGTTAAGAGCAGGGAATAATTTGACGGTCATATTGCCGATAGCGGTGGACCTTCAATCTTTGGATCCGGACGAATTCTGCCCCGGATCGATCCTTGGATCACCTCGAGGAAAATCCATCTGATAACATCCAGCTGAGTCATGATAGCGCCTGAGGCAGTCATTCTTTTCATTATCAATCTGTGTCCGTTCCATCATCGCTGCCTTGAACACAGAAGTATTGAGGCAAGCACACTTGCTTTCTCAACGATCTGGGACTATTGAGCGGCATACTCCGTCACCAACGCAGGATCCATTGACAAGCTTCGGTAGATATCACATCATCCCCTCTCTCACTGGCTGTGGTATCAGCACTAAAACCCCCACTCTCATCGCTTAGCGTGCCATCCACGATAGCCACCGCCCGATAACGATAGGGAAGACGGCCGATGCGTGATTCCTCGGATATTGAAAGGATTAGCACGCCTTATCAAATAATCAAGCAACCAGGCTGTAAGACATTCAAGGTCCCTGTATAATTTCATGAGGATTGAGGCATCTATCAAGCTGGTGTCCTTGATGCCTTATATTTAAGGTGTCGAGGAAGCCCTTCCTGAGAGACTCTTCCCATACTAAGAAATGTTAATGCGCGATTACCGATGAACAGGCGGAGCCGCCTACCCCGCATTGAGTCACCTAAAAATTTTGGATACCTTTGCTGCATCTTGATGTAAAACAACTGTTTCCTAATCAAAAGAAAGAAATAACACCCATCTTGGAATCGAGTTTCTCAAATAGGAAAAGAAAGTCTTGCTGCGGCTTCCCGCAATCCTAGTCCCTTTCCGGCCTTCCCGCCCTATGACTCAAAATTCAGTGCACGGATATTTTCATTAGTCAACTACATCGAGTTATCATAGCTCAACCCATAGTATCATTCCATTTGCATGAATAACGTCCGATTATAGACATTGGGATCAGAATGTCGGTGATAGAGCTTGGTGACTCTATTCCATCGCTCACCTCCCATGTAAGTCACAACCGTTCCTGCAGACGTTCGCATTCATGCCTGTCAGTCAACAACACTTACACTTCCACAGGCCGTGAGCGTGTCCCTACCAACATGGTCGGACAATGTAGGTTATGAGGAAGGTGATAGACGAGTCGTGGACAAAATGACAACAGGCTATCCACGGTACTGTTCAACGTATATGCATCCACGCTTGAATCATGGAAACTAATGTCACGGCCAGATTTTTCATTCATAAATCTATTTGTGCGTTAGCAGATGCTATCATTGCCAGATATGGTAGCCCAAACCAAAAGGCCATGTTGTTTCCTTCCCCAGCACCTGCCCAAAGATGTCGCGACTTTATCAAGGAAAAAGGAGAGCCTGACCTCATCAAAGATGTCGAGGTGATTGATTTGACCCTTGATAAGGGGAAAGAGTCTTCAGAAATCATATTGAAGATCTCCCCCTCCATATCCGCTGTGATCTATCACAGCGACCTCTTCCCAGTAGCGAAGCAGTATTGGCAACACTCTGGTGACGGAATCTCAAGCAGACGTGCTGAGTTTTGCCACTCACTCTTTGTGGATGGCAAGCTCGTGCCTGCGGTCACGCCGCAACCTGTAATCCCTCAGAAAAGGGGTCCCAGACGATACCAGCGAGGCTCTATTGACCTTACTTCCACCCCAACAGACAAAAAGGTCAGCCCAGAAAGAGTCAAGGATGCAGCATTGATCCAGGAAAGCACGCAGTTCCTCGAGGATCGGTTCGGTCGGAATCTTGATTTATCTTTTATTGATAACGCCAAGATCTCCCTCCGTCGACGCATTGCTGGCTCCTTGACAGGAGATGTGAATCTTGCCGAACCGAAAACGCCTGAGCAACCCTCTGACTCCCACGGAGCGACCCAGGACGATGTATATCTCTACCCCTGTGGAATGAACGCTATCTTCAGCGCCCATCGAATGCTACTCCAGTCTAGAGGCCAGCTGAAGAGTATATCATTCGGCTTTCCATACGTGGACACTCTCAAAATCCTCCAAAAATTCGGCCCTGGATGCATTTTCTACGGACACGGTTCATCAGATGACCTGGATGACCTGGAAGCCCGCCTTCAGGCCGGAGAAAAATATCTAGCTCTATTCTGCGAATTCCCCGGAAACCCTCTCTTGAAATGTCCCGACCTCAAACGGATTAGAAAGCTAGCCGACACCTACGACTTTGCCGTGGTCGTCGACGACACGATCGGAACCTCCATCAACGTTCATGTCCTCCCTTACGCCGACGTGGTCGTCAGCAGTCTCACCAAGATATTCTCCGGAGACTGCAACGTCATGGGCGGCAGCGCAATCCTAAACCCCCAAAGAAGATATTACGACTCCCTGAAGAAAGCCTACGAAGCAGACCATAAAGACAACACCAACTACTGGGCCGAAGACATCATCTTCATGGAACGCAACAGCCGCGACTTCATCAACCGAATCAAGAAGATCAATCACACCACAGAAGCCATCTGTGATCTACTCAAGTCCCACCCTCTCGTCAAAGACGTTTACTATCCCAAGTATAGCTCAACGAAACAATTCTACGAGGACTGCCGAACCCCAGAAGGTGGTTATGGTGGTCTGCTGTCTTTCTTCTTCCACAAGAAAGAACACGCAATCGCGTTTTATGATCGCATCGAGACCGCAAAGGGACCTAGTCTGGGCACTAACTTCACTCTGACTTCACCGTATGTCCTACTGGCTCATTACTGGGAGCTGGAGTGGGCAGGTGGATTTGGGGTACCTCCGGACTTGATCCGCGTTAGTGTTGGCGTGGAAGACACGGAAGAACTCGTTTCGAGGTTTGTGGTTGCGTTGAAGGCTGCTGAGGCGGCTGATTCCTGATTCTTGTTTAAGCGAGAGTTGTTGTATGCATTTTATTTTCTGACACTTCAACCTGTCAAAATCTTGTACCATGTTAGTCTATTATCTAATTCAACCATATGTAGCAGGTACTACTACACCAATACTATATTTCATTGCACAGACAACACACGAGAGTATCAATAAGACCTACTAAAGACCCTATCCAACCCGCCCACCACATAAACCAATCAACTAAACCTAGCAGCAAAAGCCAACTTAAGGCTAGTACCGCCCCCAACCCAAGCACAACCAAAAAAGTTTAGAATAATCTAGGTAGTACCACCTACGGCGTAAACTTCCGACGACAAGCAACCCAGCCGCATATTTCCCGTGGCACGAACAGGCCTTTGTAAAACTTCGCTTAGTTCTCATCCCTTTCATGCATGAAGGGGAGAAAGTAAACTCTCTCTAGGTCCCAATTAACCAAATCAGGGTGAGGATACGGGGGGTGGGTGATGCTGTATTGTGTTACATGGATAAGCTGCAGCGCGGCACAGGCCAGTTGCAGTGGTGGCACGGCATTTAGAATGTGTTATACTAGTAGCAATGGCGGTTCGGAAATGGGGGGACTTGAGATTATGATAGTGTATATCTATTTCGATGGGGAGTGGGAATTTTGCGGAGGACATGGGTAGGTAGATGCTGTTAATGCTATGATATTTTGTGCGTTGTAGGGAGGGAGGGAGGTATATTTAACAAGGCGGGATACTTCCGTGAAATTTGTGGATGGTAAATGGATTGAGATAAATACATATACTTGAGTATGTCCCAACTGGTGACTTGGATGGACTGTGTTGGCTCAAAGAAATAAGTACTATTATTATTCTAAGGCACTATATTATTCATTATGGGAAGGCTATTCCCACCACAAGTACAAGTCATCCATTGCGTCAAGTCACTAAACTTAAGAATTCTTTAATCCCAAACCCCCATTCAGCAACATCTCAAGTGGAACAAGGTGTAACACGAAGCATGCAGGTCACGATTCCCAAGACTCCCAATGTAGTGCACCAAGTCCATGCATCACCCCAGAAACAACGGGAAACCCCGAGGAAAAGACTTCTTTCTCTCGGTGACAGCCTTGCCATATGCTACTATCAGTTGTCTGCGCACGGACGTTTCCTCATGCCATTCATATGGTGGTACAAAGAGGTGGTTTCACCATCGAGACCACCCCACAGCCGCACGTTCAGCAGTCATATAATCAGCAATTTGAGTTCAAAGTGGCGGACAAGCTTTGAGGTGCGTGGTGGCACAGCACAGACTGTTGAAAGTTGCTGAAGCCGAACAACGTGCATTATGACAATGTCATTCTCCGAAGTAAGAAGCTCCCTGTAAGATTGTGTAGAATGAGTATATAAGCCCCTCCACAGTTTCGTGAAGCAGTGCCCCTGGTTCTCTAGCAGTCCATTATCTCTTATTCTTATCCTATCGTGGTTGACCCTCGACTGTACGGTGCCACAACAAGCACCACTACAAACAGATGTCTCACCAGGCAGATATCATGCCCGGGAAACTTGTTGAGCGCCGCAACCGTATTATCTATCCGTTATCAGTCACTCAGCTCGACCAGCGGGATCTGACTTCGATAGTTGAGATCCTCCTCGTTGATAGCGAAAAGGATCGTGCGAAAAGCGCGTACCTGGGCCAGTATCGAGGCTACAGAACGTCTAAGAACATCAAAACTGGGATTCAGACTCTTCGATGGCAACTGCAAGCGAACGCTATGTTCCGATTACTCTTCGGCCCCTCCAAGATCGTCCTCTGTGAGGTGCACAAGGGATTTAATCCCTGGATTATCCACAGCCTCTTTGAATTACTGGTCAAAGAGGTCACATCGTTCTTGGATGAGCTGTACTGGTTCCTGGAATATCTCAAAGACGATGTTAAGGAGATGCTGCGCGCTCTTAATTCGATCGCCGGCATGTGGTGGTGCCCTAAAAGCAGGCACGACCTTCCTCCTTTCCATGCGAGGTATTACCAAGAGAACCGTTGCGAGGCGTGTATGCTTGCGCGTGTTGTTGCTAAGGCTCCCGATCTGCAGAATCTTCACGCCACGCTTCTGAGTCGCACAAGAGAAGATAGGTCTGAAAAACACCCTGAGCTTCAAAAGTTCGTTGAAGTGGCCATCAGTATAACCGGAGTTACCCCTGATATGCTTCGAGATGGTATGGGATTGGCAGTCAGAGCCAGAGCAGCCCGGAAGGCAGCACGCAAATTCGCGAGAAAACAAATGAAGGGGCCAAGACCAATGCGCTATAAAGGGAAAAAGAAGAGATCCCATTGTATAACCATCCGGTTGAAGGCAGAAACGCCCGAGGAAGCGGAAAAAGAGCGAAAAGAAATTTTGGAGATGTTGGCACGTCTCAAAGGCGAGCCCTCCGAAAAACTGGACGATCTTGCTAATGACATGGTCAGAGAATTCAAGTGCGACGTGGAACGCACAATCAATGCTAAACATGAAAAGCTCCCAGACTATGCGGAAAACGAGCATGTGTCAATGCCTGCACCTAGCCATCATCGTGTTAGTCTTGTGAGTGAAGCGGAAGTCAGTGATTGTCTATCGGAGGACCCGAGCATCAACGGCGAAGAAACGGACATGACGCCTGCACCCAGCTACCATTCTAACCTAAACGGTCTTGGGTCACAAGAGCCTCCGGTTGTAGGTGCCAACAGCTTGAATAGCACGACTTATTGTTCGCCCACAGTTGCGACTGGATCATCCAATACAGACCAAGCGACTGGTATTCGGTCGCGCCTCGGTGACGATGAACCCATACTTTCTATTTATGAGGAGGCTCGCAGAAGTAGCGACAGATTTCCGGTGGAGGGTAAGAGCAATGGATCGGCACTCCCTCCACTCATGCCTGATACGCCAGGCAAGAAATCGGTGAAGTTTGCAGCGCCCAGACATGTTGCACCTGTGTATGGGAGCCGCCTGCCCCAGAATTTCTTGAGGTTCAGAACGTCGTCATGATCGTGTCAAGGGATGCAATATTCGAACCACGCGAGTTGCTGAGATTTGCTCCATGTTCGTATAGCGTGATTTCAGGCGCACCCTATAATCCGCGATTACTCAGTTTGCTGTAAGTCATCAGAATGTGGTAGAAGAGAAATTTATACAGATTATTTAGTAAAGACAAGAATTGAGTGGAATGAACAGAAGGGAAGTGCTCGTCAATTTCCAAATCTCCGTGGTCATGCAGGATGCCCGATTAGTAGATAACCCGAACAGTAGGTAGGTGGGTGAAAAGACATTGTACAGGTCCGTAGCAGGTTCTCATCAACCTGGCTATTAATACAGCGTAAAGAATAATGCAGTGAACAGACAGCGAAGTCGGAAGTAGGAGGCGTCCCGCAACTCCAAAGACCCCCGCTGGGCGGCGAAGACAAAAGGTGAAGGAATTATTACAACGAATTATGAAGGCAAAAAGAATTGACTATAGGACGCTGCTGGCGACGGGGTGGTTTACGCTTCGGAAACCATCGACATGAGGGGAAAGCGTGACGGTCTTTCTGCGGCGAGAGCGAGTGGACTCTGCCGGTCCTTCTTGGGGAACAGCTGCAGGGATGACACTTCCGGATGCCGGAGTATCAGCACCCGAATTGGTGGCGGAGCTAGCATCGTTGTCAAGCTGCTTCTGAGCAGATTCACGGGAACGTTCGTAACGTAACTTCACATCGCCCTTCCACTGAGTACCGAACCAACGATCCCAGATTGTGAAGAAAGGCTGCGAAAAGTTCGTCTTGATTCCCCAGCTTTGGTGGTGAATGTCATGGTAAGCGGCATTGTTGGATGTGAAATGCTGCAGCGGATCCCAGGGGAAAGCATAGCCGCAGTGATCGTCAACGGTTTTGATGGTAGAAAAGGTGAAGAACCACATGCTCTGGCGAGTCGACATCCGGGCTGTCAAGAATGCGACGCCAGTGCCAGCAGTATCGAGAAGGAATCCTTCAACGGGATGGTTGTAGAGAGCGCCGAAAGCATAGGGAACATATAGACGATGGTGGCGGGAGTGGAAGGTCACTGGAGACTGTCAATCGATTGCCCAAAGCCGGAATGATTCGAAGAAACTATGACTTACCATAAAGCCACCGGTTCAAATGCATCGCGCGGTGCAGGAAGTACTGCCAGGTATCGACGACGCAAACGCCCCAGATGAACTGCAACGCGGGGACGAAGAACCAGTAGATGAAACCAGCCGTAGAAAGTTCCCAGTTAGTGAAAGCAGGGACCACCGCCTCTGCGCCACTATCCAGAATAAGGGACTGGGTAAATTGTGGGTAATGCCCGCCTGCAATGGCGCCTCCAAGCATTCCCCAGCCCTTATGCGACAGATTCTTCCCTAAACCCATAGCATCAATACCAAAGAGAGCCAGCAGATGAGGCAGGCCCCTCTGCATGAGGCGAAGACGGCGAGCCCAAACCGCCACATCATATGCTTCTTTACCCAAACATTCGGGCTCATCGAAATAGCTCACTGCCATGCCCGCGATCGTCTGGACTACTTGCTGGAGCAAAACATCTCTCACCACTTCCCAGCGCGTGACTCGGTTTCGTTTCAGCACCTCAGCGGGGGTGTGTAGGCGGTATTGAGGGAAGTAATCGTTGACATCAATAAAGTGATATACCATGGACAAGGCCCAGTAAGCAACGATGGGTAAGATCAAAGCGAGGATATTGTCTGGGATCGGAGCAAGAACCGGCGGGCGGGGAGTCAAGGTATAGGTCGGAAGAGGGGGGAGATCAAAGACGACCGACGCGTTGGTAGCCATGATGTGATGAGGACGATCGATCGCCAGGACTATGCAAGTCAAGAATTGGGAAAGGTTATTCGACAGACCTACCGCATCGGTCGCGGAGATCAAAGGTGAAAAGGAGATTCGAATGAAAGAGAAATTCAGATCGCAATCACAATCGGATGCAAGTAGGGCAGTGAGAGGTTCCTGGCGCAGGCCAAAGATATAGCAGAAGATTTACGGGCCCGTGGGACAACGCAATGATTATGGACCGGCGATGGCGAGATATCTGATCGGGAATCCTGGTCAGGTCAAGGCCCACCAAAATCAGGGGACGCAAATGGCACCAAGTGCCGAGGAACCGATGGGGTAGTGGTGAGGGATTAATTAGGAGGGAGTGTTCAAAAAGAATGACCGCGAGGTTCAGATTACCATCGACTGTAGCAGTAGTCAAGGAATCCGACACCGGGATGAAGAAGATAACAATAGTCGAAGGCCGGCCAAAGGAGTGTGTCTTACCGCGAGTTGAAAGGTCAAGACGGAGAGAAAAGTCACGGGTGGAATTGGCAAGCAGGAGTGGCGCCACGGGATCGTGAGGCCGACCGATAGCTGCACGATGTTGTACTGGTATGTATTACATTATATGTTACCACTATTTAGTATGATGTTACTATGAAAGATGATTGTTATGTATCAGTAATATAGCACTGTATGTTACCGACTGAAGACCCCTTAGCCACAATGTGTATGCCTCAGGCAGGAGGATATCTGGAGTGGGAAGATCGGATGCCGGAGCCCAACTGACATGTCAGCCGAGCTAGAATAATACTACCCCAACATTCAACTACAGAGTAAAACCAATTTCCTTAGAAGTAAAAGATTGATGCAGCGGTAGTCTGGACTCACTGCCTCGACTTTCCTTTTTTTCATATTTTTGCCTCAAATTTTTTTTTCCCACTCATCGCCTGTCAGAATTTGCCATCGGAGCAATGGACGAAAAAGACAACAAAAAACGATGATTGGGATTCTTTCTTTTTGGGCCAGACGAGTCGACCAGGCCCAAACGGGACTAGCGGCAAGCGGTGCCCCTCGAGCGACGGAAAATCGACCGTGAAAAAAACCCCACCACGAGAAACTGGAAAGGAAAAGCGCCACTAAATATTAATCTTCATTTTTCCCCTCCTTCCCCTTCTTCTCCTCTTCCCTCCGTCTCTCTCTCCTCATCTGCCACTTCTCTCCTCTTGTGACTTTGTCCACTTCTTCATACACCTGCCAAAATGATCATCTACACGGTTCGTATACCCTTCTCAGTCTACTTCCCATCTTGTTGCGATTATCCAGCAATGCAAGGATGCGTGAAAAGAACAACAAACGGTTGCATCAATCCTGCAGCCTTATTGCATCTCCTCTGCTTCCTTACCTGCAACCATTATTATCATCATTATTCTCATCATACCCTCGCGTTCTAAATTCTGCATGCCGCAAAATTACTGACGTCCGTTTTTATAGGATATCGTCTCCGGCGACGAGGTTCTCGCCGACACCTACAAGATCCAGGAGGACCCCGAGAGCAAGCTCCTCTGGACCTGCGACTGCCGCAAGTACCTCAAGAAGAAGAACGAGGACTTCGAGCTCGAGGGTGCCAACCCCTCCGCTGAGGGCGGTGATGAGGATGCCGGTGGTGAGGGTGAGGCCGTCATGGTCCACGACATTGAGGACCAGTTCCGTCTCAACTGGCTCAAGACCGAGGAGGGCATGAAGCCCTCCAAGGATGCCTTCAAGGGTCACCTCAAGAGTACGCCTTTGCATCTCTATATATTTCGCCTTTACATCACATTTCAATGCTAACCAGTCTTCTTTTCTACAGCCTACATGAAGAAGGTCCTTGCCAGACTCACCGAGACTGGTGCCTCCAAGGAGACCATCGATGAGTTCAAGGCCGGTGCTCCCGCTGCCGTCAAGAAGATCCTTGCCAACTACGACAACTACGATGTCCTGATGGGTCAGTCCATGGACGGCGATGCTATGTACGTTTTATCTTGCCAATCATCTTCTGGCTGCAACTGAAACTAACTAATTGAATCAGGCACATCCTGATTGACTTCCGTGAGGACGGTGTCACCCCCTTCGCTACCCTCTGGAAGCACGGTCTCCAGGAGGTCAAGGTCTAAATTCAGACACTGCAGTCATGCGAATAATTGTTGTCATGAATTGAAAAAGAAAGAGAAGAGACACTGAAGATGCGATCTCTTAATCCGAGCAACCAAGGGTCCCCGGAAATTAGCTGTCCAGGAGTTTGGACTCCTGGGTTCCCGCTAACGCGTCCCTTCTGGCTATTGCTAATTATCTTTCCCTTCGCATCTTGATATCACATCATGCTCCTGCGTCGCATATCTTCTGCGTCCTTCTTGATTAAAGTCACGCCTCATGAAATTCATAACTGTTACGTCTTCTTTTATTTCTGATCACATATTATTCCATCGTCTAGCGGTTCTTCGTTTGACACATAATCATCTTGACACCTGAATCCAGTTGTATAACCGTAGATCTCAACCTCAAGGATGAGTTCAATCAAAAAGTAGAAGAATAGAACCGCTATATACAAAATAAACGAGAACTTAATTTATACCTCCCAACCAACCAACCAAACACCTCCAATTAGACATACATTAAGTACTAAGTAAATCAACAATAACCCACCCAATCAGACCCCCTCACCTCCCCCATCCCAACCTCATTACCACTACTACCAACACTCCCAAAACTACTAGTACCTCTCCCCACACCACCACTACCACCAAGCCCCATCCTCGAAGGCGAAGCAGCAGCATTAGCATAAGCCGCACTGCTCAAATCGCCAAACTCGAATCCCGTGACCGGATCCAACTCCATCAACTCATCCGCCACCGGCAGATGCTGCCCGAAGACAGCGTCCCACTGGTCCCAATCGAAGTTTAAGTTTGGATCCACCATTGAGGGCGGTGTGGGGGCCCCCGGGATGGGTTGGCTGGTGGGTGAGATGGCTGTGTCCATGAAAGATGGAAGAGGAGCTGCTTGTAGAGCAGCAGGAGGAGGGGTATTAGTTGGTAGTTGTGGTGCTTGCTGCGGCTGCGGGGTGTTGTTGAAGGTGCTGGCGAAGATGTTAGGGTTCAAGGGGGCGATGCTTTCGGGGGATGAGATGGGGGAGCCGCTGGGGAGGGGGGAGGTGGCGGTGGTGTCCATGGGGTATTTGGGGGGTGTTGGGGATTGAGGGAATGGAGGAGGAACGGGAGCGGTTCTTGATTGCGGGCTTGGGAGGATAGGAGCAGGGGCTGGAGGAGGGAGTTGATAGCGGAGAGGGCTTGGACGGGAGTTGTTGATCGTGGTAGCTGGGTTGGGGAGTTGATGGGAGCGAGTCATGTTGTAGAACATTTTGGAGAAGTCGGTGAGTTGGCGGCGGGTGGTAACGGCGGAAGGAGGATGGTAGGTTGAGGGGGAGGGACTGCCGCTGGTGTAGCAGGGGTCGTTGTTGGCGTAATCTTCGGGGAGAGACGTGACGCCAGCTTGGATCTGGGCTTGTTCGGACCATAGTCTGTGAGGATCCAGGCCGGCTTTTTGCCATGCTTTTTGGCGTAGGCGTCGGATCATGTCCCATGCTTCGCGGCCGCCGTCTTTCAAAGGTCGTTGGGTTGAGATGCCGTCTTCGCCGCCGACGACGCCGCCGTCGGGGCCTGTCATGGAGAAGATCTTGTCGATGTAGGCGCGGGATTTGGGAGCCTCTGGACTGTAGGGTCGTTCGTAGAGGTCGATGAGCATGATCATGGTCGCGTGCATTGGTTGGTGATTGCCGGGCCAACTCCATTGGAAAGGTTGGAAGTCGGGGTCAGTTGCGAGTGAGACGAACTTCTCCATGAAGCCGTGACAGTGGCGGAGTGCGCTGTGGTTTGTTAGTGGTTTGTGTCTTGTTTGTGGATGGTGATGTTGGACAGTACCTCTGTCTTGCAGCCGGCCAGATTCGACTTTTGGCGTTCTTCAGGAAAGGCTGATAAGCGACGCAAAAAGCCTGGTAGGTTTGGTTAGCAGGATTATCGGTACATCTTGAAAAACACTCACTTTGTCTATGAAGAGAGACATAAGGATCCTAGCCCATTTGTGGAAGGATATAAGGACAGGCGAATGATACTGCTCTGCACATCCATTGGGCCCATCCGCCGGCAGTTCGGTGCGGGAATCTGCTTGTGAGGATAAAGACCATGATCTAGTAGATGACACTGGAGACGAAGTATCGAGAGAGTTTGCTTCTGGTATCCGGTTGATGATAGAGTTCAGTTTGTATTGCAAATCAACCAAAATCGACCTCAGCTCCTCCATGTCCCTTCGCGTGACGGGTTTTGTACCAAGCTGGATCTTCATGATCCGACGAACAGCGCCTGCGGGGTTGTTAGATCTCGTGACCTATGGACGTATACTTCTGATACTTACGAGCCATCGTATATTTGCCCTTGGCCGATAGGTAGTAAACGTTAACCATAGAAGGCCCACCACATACGGTTGGGTCATCGGGGTTATCCGGTGGCCTCATGCCGGTCATGACAAGCCTCTCATATTTCTCGGCAGCGGGAGTTCCAAGAAGAGTGTCTTTAACCTCGCTAGTCTCGCGAACATCCCAGTAGTTCTCATCACTGACCAGAGGAGGCAGACCGCTGGACATGGCCACCACGCCGTCCATGTGTACAATATGCCACCATATACGGCGACGGTATTCCGCGTCGCTGGGGCCAATGCCGAATTTAGCAGGGTCCCGATGCAAACCCATAGTCTGGGCCACCCTCATGGCAAGACTGATGAAGAGACTACTGGTTAGAGGCTCTTCCTCCTTGGAAAGAATGGTCTGGACCAGCAGATATGCAGATAAACCTTGCATGGACGGACTGCGAGGGAACGATATCTTGGATAGCCAGCGCGTTACCTCCTCACTGTATGCCTTGGACAGACCTGAGCGGGATGACACGTTGAACTCAGCCTTGATTGTTCGTATTGAGACAGTGACGGAACCGCCATACCAGATGGCATAAAGCAAAGGGATAAAGGATGGGTCAGGGCAAGACTCCCCAGAGTAGCTACCTGAATCATACCAATCCCAGAAGGAGTTGTAAAGCTTCAGAATGGTAGGCGGGTGCACAACTGGGGTAATGGCGTGTATTCCAGACATAAATCCCTTGTACAGGATATGGCTCTGTCGTTTTGTCGGCATGTTCTCAAGCATTTCTGGCTCCACTATCTTGTCATTCACAGAAGGCGATTCGCTTGACGGAAACAAAACAGACTTCTGGAATGTCTGTACTCTGCTAAGCTTCTCGGCAGGCTCGCTGACACCGTCAGCCGACTCTTTCCACTGGCGTCCCGGTGTTGTAACCATAGGTTCCGTTCCCGCATCGTCAACGGGGCTCTCATTGAAGGCTGGTTCGTTGTGCGATCGATTCTGATCCCTGAGCAACTGATTGAGCTCATTTATCTAGTGATACTTAGCATAGTCCTTCAATGGAAGGCTGGAATCTTCTTCAGCATACCTCATGAGAAATATAAGCCCAATAAGTCGTCCCGACGTATCTAACCCATTGTCAATATAGAGCCCTCCCGACCACAAAACAAAACCATACCTTGATCGCCCTCCATCCTCCAAGCTCAAATGGCCAAGATTCAAGCTCCCCACAGGATCCACCAGATCAGTAGCATGGCCCGCGGGAATAGGAAATTCGTCGCCACTAGACTCAGCCGCGCGACGCGGACTATCCGGACGGGAACCAGCAGTTGGCTTTAAGGCCGCAATATTGCTCAAACGAGGGTCACCCTCAGCCGGCTCGAGTTTCACATTTGGTGCCAGCCGTTGCTTTCCTGCGACATCCAGCGGCTGATTCGTCTTGCTCAGCCTCTCGATCATCGAGGTGAGTTTATCCAAACGCGCCTCAATGGCTTGCGACCGTTGCTCGGAAGCTCCACTTTGCTTCAGATGACCGTAAATAGATTGTATATCATCAATATCCTCCTCAATAGGTCGCGACGACTCCCTCCTCCGCTTGACGCCATGTCCGTTCTTCGATATGCTCGAGCGCGACTCCGTATCCTTCTGTGGCGCCGCATCGTAGACGCATTCGGTACCATTTTTCACGCAGTTGCCGCAAATCGGGTGGACCTGCAAATTTGCTTGTCAGACCAGTTCAAGACTCACAAACAGTTTAGGACTATGCACCTTGTCGCATTTGACCTTTCGCCTCCGACAAGTGTGGCAGCTGTAGCTGGCGCGATTGCGGGTGATTTGACGGCCCCCAGCCTTCCCAGTCTTGGGAGCAGCAGAAGACGAAGAGCCCGAGGCAGGGGAGTCATAGCTAGAGCGAAATTGGGATCGGGGGGTTCCATTCATCTGCCCGTACCCGGGCAGAATGCTCGGTGGGCTTGTATTCATGGTCCGTCGGTCGCAGTGGCGGGGTTCTATGATCCATCGACAGGACGCAGGGAGTGGTTCATGAGGGAGTGCACATGAGTGTCAGCCCATGTATGTGAGTCGCGACTACTCGGGTGCCGATCGAACAATTGTGCGCTTGTTGGAATAATAAAACGGAAGCAACCGCGCAGTGATTGAAGCTGAAGCTGAGAGGAACAGCGGCGGAGGATGACTCTGGGGTAAAAGAGGCCGCGGTTCTACTTATCGGCGATTGCGCCGGCTCGGCCAATGACAGCGACCATATACGCAAGATGGTCGGAGGGTCCTCCCGAGAAATTCGGAGTGATTTGGATTGACCCATGATCATCTACTGAGAAGTGTAGGACCTTACAGAGCATGCTTTAGGTACGCTATAATTTTTCGAATGATCTCTGTGGAATAAACTAGAGAAGCTACGGCTGCCATCCGCTGCGGAGACGGCAGATGCCACCTATCAGCCACATCCAATACCACAAACCAGACATGTCCCCACTCATTGATCATTTCATTCGACTTGGTATCAAGAGAACAGCAGAGATGCCCTCTATACATGAATCATCATAACGCCTTTCGCCCGTGCCAATGCAATCAAAAGCCTATGTACTACATGAAGAAACACCGACAAGTGCTTCACGCCTTGCCCTTCTTCTTATCCTTCTTCTTCTTTTCGCTGCCTCCAGC